GAGGACCTTGTGATTAAGTAGTTATATGATTGTCCCAATGCGCCTAATTAAGAGCTAAGATGTACATAAACATTACAGCTAATTCTGAATTCTTTTTCCACAGGCCATACCCTGGAACTATTTGAAGCGCGATCCAGTTACCGATGAACTAGTGCTCGACGCTTATGGTAATCCGATTTGGGAGGGTTTCTGCATTGATTTTATTAAAACCTTGTCGAAGCGTCTAAACTTCGGTTACATACTCGTACCACCTACTTCGGGTGAATTTGGACGGCGCAATGCCGAAACCGAACAATGGGATGGCATTATCGGCGATTTGGCTATTGGTGAGACGGATTTTGCCGTCGCTGCATTAAAAATGTACTCGGAACGTGAAGAAGTTATTGATTATATAGCTCCGTACTTTGAGCAAACAGGCATTTCTATAGTTATGCGAAAGCCGGTGCGACAGACATCGCTATTCAAATTCATGACCGTTCTACGGGTGGAAGTGTGGTTCAGCATAATTGCAGCGCTGGTGGGAAGTGCCATACTGATTTGGCTGCTAGATAAGTATTCACCATATAGTTATAGAAATAATCGTGAGGCATATCCATACCCTTGCAGGTAGGAATGATAATCGTCACATGAAATTCTAAAGACGCTGTTTATCATAATTTATGTATTTCAGGGAATTCACACTTCGTGAGAGTTTCTGGTTTGCTCTGACTTCATTCACGCCGCAAGGCGGTGGTGAACCTCCTAAAGCGGTATCTGGTCGCATAATGGTTGCAGGTTATTGGCTATTTGTGGTTTTGATGCTGGCCACTTTCACGGCGAACTTAGCTGCCTTTCTTACCGTGGAACGCATGCAGACACCTGTGCAGTCTTTACAGCAGTTGGCGCGTCAATCTCGCATAAACTACACTGTTGTGGAAGGATCAAGTACACATCAATACTTTATAAATATGAAATTTGCTGAAGACACGCTATATCGCATGTGGAAGGAATTGACGATGAATGTAACTGAGGATTATCAGAAATACAGGTTAAATCTAGGAAATATTGCTTATCTTAATTTAATTACTTTACAGTTTAGCGGTCAAGCTGGCTAATATATAGTTACATTACCAGTTCTGCGACACATCGAATGCCATCAGTTATTTGCATTTTTGCTGAACTTACAAATTTCTAAACAACTTACTATTTATCTTACAAAACACTCTATTTAATCCTCTTTGTTTGCATGCTTTCAGAGTTTGGGATTATCCCATCAGAGAGCAGTACGGCACCATATTACTCGCTATAAATAGTTCCGAACCCGTTAAAGATGCCAAGGAGGGATTTCGCAAGGTCAACGAACACGAGAACGCCGACTTCGCATTCATACACGACTCCTCCGAAATAAAATATGAGTTGACCCGTAACTGCAATCTGACCGAAGTTGGCGAAGTATTCGCTGAACAACCCTATGCCATTGCGATTCAACAAGGATCTCATTTTGCGGTAAGTTTTGTGAGATTTTCGTTCAAGTAAAAAAAAA